CATCTCTCTCTTCCCTTGTATAGAGCATTCTCCTAGTCCTACTAGGAGCTGAATTCAAATCAAATTTGGATTAGGGTTTATCCTTATTGTTAGAATGGATGCTCCATACCCAAATACATGACCTAAATCCACCCCAAATCACATGACAACTTAACTAATCATATTAGTTAAGTTATTAGGTGTCTACTTAACTAATCGTATTAGTAATAGGTCTTAGGCCCATTAACTTTAATGCCTTACTTTCTTATGCATTGAAAGGTCATGTAGGCCTGAACATTGTATGGCATGGGATCCAYAAAGGTCTTGCACAAGTTCATAAGGGTTCAGCCCCACCTCTAGAAGAGGCTAGGCTGAATTCACTACTCAAGGGCAGTGAACCCCTAGCCTAATCAACATGGGTTCAGTTGGAGTCAACATTTACATGTAAATGATCATTGCATTCAGCTATTCTATGAARACCCAAAGACAATGGACTTATATAAGAAGAATCCCACCACGTAATCAACCTATAATGATCTCTTACACTTAACATCTTGACTCATAATCATCCAAACACTACTCATAGGGAATGATATCTTCCCTAACTGCAAAGTGCAATGTCATACTCTTTGTTCAGATGGATATTGGGATTAAAACATTTCTCAAACATTTTTCATAAATAGTAATATAACATATAAATACATTTTACAAATCAAATTTCAAATACAATTGAAATCCACTACAGACAATTTAGGTTTCTATCAAAGAGACTATAAACTCTAATATTCATTTCATTTGACAAAGGGGTCGATCCTATCACTACAATCATTCACTTAGGTAATTTCTTAGATTGCCCCAACATGCCCAAATATTTGAACCTCGACGGACCTCACTAGTTGACATATCAAAGATAGTTCAATCCAAAACCTAGTGTAATATCATAATCAAGTCTATGGTTAAGTGTAAMTTTCTGGTTTTGCCCATCTATCTCCAATGTCCAAGACATAACTGGAAATTGGTACAGTTTTAGTGTTTATTCCAAACACTCATTACCTATGCTTAGGGTCTAACCCAAACAACTGAGACAAGTTACTCCACCAATTCGACAACATACCAATGTTAGTCTTRTCAAGATAAACTCTATAAATCTATTCAATGCCTAAAAATATTCTAAACTAACATGAGTCTCATAGATGTTAATGGTTTCAGGAGTAATTCACAAAAACATATCAATTATGATCATGAAACAATAATGTACTTTTATTACTCATAAATGTTTGTATACATCAATTTAATTGGAGCTAAGAGCATACATTGTCTYACACTATCATAAGTAATTCAAAGTGTTTGATGTAATTTTCTGTTAATACTATCGCAAATGGTTCTGACCTAAATTMTGTATGTATTTGGAGGTATGGTCTTCCTAAGTCCCAATTGTTGACCCTATGTGGTTTGATGATAACAAACTCATTGAAAATACTAATGGTATGCTAAGTATGCAACTAATCTAARTAGAATCATTGATTAATTTAGCTAAAACTTCATCAAGACCATTAATACTCCCTCCAAAGTTAAGGATTGCTCCATGGGAATCAAAAAATGAATGGACTACAAGTGCTAAGAAGATTTTGGAGTAGGTTAAGAAGATTTATGTTACAACTCACCGAGGAGGAAAGAAGCATCAAATCTATGGTCTAAGTGTCATATTTTATAGGTTCTTGATATAATCATTTGCTTGAGATGTATAACACAAGATACTCAATAAGACCAAACTTGATAAAATCAACCTTAGAGACAAATGGCTAGAATACGGTTGGTTCTTAAGCTTTATTGGACTTAAAAACAAGATTTGAAATTTTGGAAAATAATTTTGAAAGCCAATAAAAGAATCCCTAAATATTTGGATTAATTTTTCTAAGATTTCTAAGTGTTAGAGTATATGTAGTTGACTACCCAAAAATGTATAGTCAACCATCCTTGATAGCCAAAGCCACTATCAAGTAGTAGTYGACTACCCAAAATGCATAATTGACTACGCTTGACAACAAAGGCATGAAATTCCTTGACACTATGCAATAGTTGACTACTTTAAACAACTAGAGTTTGAAAACTCATATCAGTTGACTAATTGGAGGAATCAATYGACTGAAGGAGAAAAAAKATTCCTTCCTTTGTATGACAAGCGRTAATTAATTGATTGTAGTTGAYTGCCTTGCCAGATTTTTTACTRTTTGAAAGCATAATGGTAGTTCTATTTTTTATGTTCCTTCTAACTTGTTTAAGACACTTTGAATCACTTCCATGAAAGGAAAATATCTTAAAGTACCCCTAAGCTTTAGGAAATTAGAAATTATCTTAAATTACCCTCAATTTTTCTAACAATTGACTAAATCCTTCCCTTCCATTAGCATTTGTTAATGCTATATTACAATCTATCCACACGTGACACCACGTGATGTATAATTTTTTTCTAAAATCCAATATTTCCCTTTCATGGATTATTTTACCCYTATTATTCTTCAAATTTTCCAAACCAAACCACTATTTACAATGGAACAAAGAGGGAGGGAAATAGATGAAAACAAAGATGGAAGATGTTCAAGGCAAGCACTAAAGAAAAGTCTAAGCACTTAACAGTGTAGCAACATTCTATCATTTTATAGAACTATGGCTTTCATGTTACTTTAACCCAAACCATTTATAGTTAGTGTTTTAACTGGTTTAGATCTACCAATTGTTTGGTGAATTAGTGCAATCGTATTTACAGGATACTTGGTTCTTTAGTACTCTTGTCCTGAAAGGATGGGGAGCTTACAATTCAAGAGAGATGAGAAATGCCATTAATAGAGTCATCTCTATGGAGCTCRAAAATGCTTGAGAAATGTCATTCATGGACAATGAGTATAAATGGGTATTTCARAAAAATTGGATACTCTAAATACTCTAATTATTACAAGATACAAAGTAGGGRTGGATTCAAGCCGAGTCGAACCGAATAGTACGGCTCAAGCTCAGGTTGCCAAGGTAGTACAAGGCTCAAGCTYGAGCTCAACTTGAGAAAAATGTTTTATAAAAATAATATATATATATGCAATATTTTTATTATATATTGTTTTCTATAAT